GCTGACCCGCAGGTCGTGGGATCAAATCCCGGCTGTGGCGGCTCCATTTCCGATGGAGGCGGAAATGTTGTAGGCCCGTGTACTCATATTTGGGTGCACGTTAAAGAACCCCAGGTGGTCGAAATTTCCGGAGCCCTCCACTACGGCGACTCTCATAATGAAATAGTGGTTTTGGGACGTTAAACCCCACAAATCAATCAACAACTTAGCTGTATATATATATATATATATATATATATATATATATATATATATATATATATATATCGATTGATATGTGGGTTTAACGCAAAATCACCATATGATTATGAGAGCCGCCGTAGTGGAGGGCTGGGAAAATTTCGACCACCTGGGGTTCTTTAACGTGCACTCAAATCTGAGCACACGGGCCTACAACATTTTCGCCTCCATCGGAAATGAAGCCGCCGACGCCATGATTCGATCCCGCGACCTGCGGGTCAGCAGCCGAGTACCTTACCTACTAGACCACCGTGGTGGGGTGACTAATCGGTGCATGTGCTCTGAAAGCAACGATGAAGCAGAGGACTAAGAGAGCGCTTAGCGGTTCATGATGACGGTGACTTTTGTTCGCGAGTAATGGAGTTCCTTTGAGCTAAAACAGCCCCGGTGCGCAGTCTGCACTAACAACACCAGTAAAGTACGTGACTAGCTATTACGGGACATTACGTTAACGTAAGTTAACTTTAGTCACCCACGTGACTATAGATGTTACTGATTTTACGTCATTTAGTCATGCGCGTGATTCGCTACTACTTGGTGTTATTTGATTTCAGCCACGTCAGCAAATGTTACGTGATTTTAGTCATGGGACCAGAGGTTAAGAGGTTTTGGCGGGCAAATGTCCCGTGACTATAGCTGTCACACGACCAGTGGTTCCGTAAATTATGACGGAAAAATGTCACGTGAGTAAATGTTATGTGCACTACGTGGTTGTAGTCATGGGACTAGCCACGGGCCTTAGGTGAAAACTTGTCACGTGATCAGCGGTTACTTGATGTGATTTTAGTCACGTGGCCTACGTTACGCAGTTTTGGCGAGTAAATGTTACGTGACTACAGCTGTTACGTTACCTCTTTCAGTCACGTGACTTGCTCTACTTGCGTTCATAGCTGAAATATGCCACACGACCAGCAGTTTCGCAGTGATGCCTAGCAACGTGACTAGTTGTTACGTAATGTTACATTGATTTTAGTGGCATGACTAGTTATTACGTGATTTTAGTCATGTAAAAGTCTCTCTTTCATCGCAGTTATTGCATCTCACGCTGGACAAATCGGCGCACGTGTTGTCAGAGCTGAATATGAGGACTAAGTGAGGGCGTACCGGTTAATTATGATGATAATTTCCGTTCGCACTTTACCCGGGGTACGACAAGTCTGTCAGACACCATGCATGTTATTGCGGGAATCATTTACATGACAACCGGCCGGCGAGTATAAAAAAATGATTGAGTAAAGATGATGACTTTTCGTCCCACAATAATTACCGTCTCCTGTCCCAAGTTCCTCTCCTTGCATTATCGCCACACTCCCGGCTCACGAAGGACATGCGCGTTATCAGAGTGGCATGGCATTGATCGGTATTAATGTGGCCAGCACCGAGTATTCTTCAAGAAAGAAAGCTCAGGCAAACCTGATGACGATTACTGATGCGGGACAAAAGTCGCCCTTTTTAGTGAATCATTTATTTTTTACAGTAGCCGCACACTCCGTATTTTTCTTTTTCGCCTTGAGCTAAGTTTTACTAAACGGATGGGCGTATTTTTGTAAATTCAATTTCGTGCATATCGGGGGCTCACCAGGCACACTGGCTACGCTGAAGAGCACAAGTCTGATGTAACGTCGGCACTCGAAATAATGATGCTTACAAGAAGTGTAAGCAGCATTCGTTAACGTATACCTGTGGGACGAGCAGTCAAGACTATAAATTTCTGAGTCATAGGCTCGAGCACAATTACATTTTTTTATAAAGCGGATATCAACAATGCACCTAGTAGACGGCACGACCACCAAACTTATGCTAGGCAACCATTGATGTAATACGTTTATGTACGCTCTGTACCGCGTGGGCTCAGGTTTGTTAGAAAACTTCGTTATACTAGTGCTTAGCCTCACAAATGCCGCTAAATACGGCAAGTATATCTCTTGTTCCAGCCCTGTAAAATGCCTCACGGTTCCCTCGTCCATTCACTCTGCTTTTGAGTTCATACAGAATGTGAATCACCTGGGAGGTATATCCACACACAACGGCCCGTGTTATGCGCTACGCGTGGCCATGACCAAGATTTGGGGACAAGTGGTGACATCTCTCGGTGCCCTCCGGCATCCTGCTATAACTGAATGTGACATAGACGAGAGAAAAAAAGATGTCTGGCGAAAAAACAGGTTATAAAAAATTACTCCCGGTTCTGTACCCCAGATGCCCACTGAAACATTCTGGTAAAATTAGTGTCGCTGTACAAACCACATGGCTTTGCAGACTTAGCGATATCTGACAATGAGGCCCCTTGCCCTTCCAATGCGCTGTGTTCTGTTGTCCTGGGAAGACACACGTTTTGAAGTGTGATCACGACTACAATTTTCACCATCCAGTGAGTCCCTGCTGCATATAAGGGGGAGTATTATTTTTTTGATAACTAGCTTTTTTCGTCATGTATGGTCTTTTCGCCCACTTTCCATTCAGCTATGACACGATGTCGTTGGGGGTGCCGAGAAATGTCACACGTGCAGATTTCAAATGTCCCCAAATCCTCCAAATGTAGGTTTCATGACGTACGCGACCAAATCGCCACGATGGTCTAGTGGTTATGGTGGCCGACTTCCGGTCTTGTAGTTATGGTGTAGTAGTAGCTATGGTGGTCGCGGTATCGAATCCAAGCAGCGGCGGCCGCATTTTAATGAAACCGAAATGCATGAAGAAAAGAGTACGTAGATTCAGGTGCACGTTAAAGAACCCCAGGTGGTTAAAATCCCCAGAACGATTCAATGCAGCTTTCCTCATAATCATGTCGTGGTTTCGGGATGGTAAATTATTATTGCGTACGCAGCAGGCATGGATGGAAAGGTCTACAGTCACGTTACTAAACGAACTCCAACGACAATTGACGCGTTTCTACGCCTCCTCTGCGAAACTTGGTATATACGAAATTAAGAAGACCGCCACCATAGCACCTAGACGTTGGCGGCGGCTACTTGCTAATTGGAACATATTCCACCACATATGTAACAATGGCGGCGCTTGTGTCCGGCCTTTGGACCGATGAGTCTTGATGTAAACAGCTTTACCTCTAAGTTTACGTATACAAATGAAGGATGTGCTAACAACAGGCAACAACCAACTGCACTTTCCACTGTCCAGTATAGACTACCGACGCCAATTCGTCACGATATTTGCAACGTGCAGCACTATACTTCACGCTTGTTTCTGTATGATGCAGTCTTTCTCAAGAAGGCCGCGTACCAGTGTATACATGTTGAATCTAATCTTGATGCAGCAGCAAGCTGACGATCGCTAATACAGCGACTTGGACTCGCCGGCATTAACCATAGAGAGGACGATTTCACTGGCTCACAGCGTACTCAGAGTTAGCGTTTTGTACGATGTCAAACTCATTGTTCTAGAGTAATGTGATCGCCCATATTGGAAGCTTACCTGTGTACTCGTGCTTGTCATTACGCCGGTGACATCTGGCACCCCGTGAGACGAGCTTGTCTACGACACAAGAGTCACTTGACTTTGCGGACGTCCCAAACCAATGTCTAACAATGTCTCTTCTCTTGAAATGATCGAACTGGGTGTGTTACACTGCTACGTTTACAATACGTCAAATATTTCTTCTGGTGGCCCCACGCATGCCTTCAGTAGCTGCCTTCGCCGCGAGCAGCGTTCGTTGCCCGCGGGGTGGCGTCGAGAAGCGAAAAGATTAGGCGATCCGGCGTGAAGATATGAGCGGTCCATGTGCGCAAGGTTGGATATATGCTCGACTATATGACTGCGTCATCGTGATGCCAACGGCCATCGCTCGTACCGCAATGCGTTACCATTCCGCGATTCCGCAATGCGTTACCACTCGCAGCGTGAACGCATTCGGTAGGATTAGTTTCAATGTCGAAACGCCGTCATCTTTAATTAGTGAGCCTGTGCAAAGCGTGTACGGTGGAACATAGGTGAATAGTCCAAGTGCTTACCTAGCGTGCAATTATAATGGTTGGCGGGATGTGAAGGGGCGAAACGGCCATATGATTGAGACACGCCGAAAGTTTTAAGAACAGCTGGTGTACTTTAACGTGCTCTGACATCGTGCAGTGACGGGCTTTTAGCACTGTGCCTCCACCAAAATTCCCGGACGGAAATCGGAGCCGTGACTTCCGGATAAGTAGCCGACCACCGTAGCCACTGTCTTGGTGATAACCAGCCTAATCCTCGGGTCAGTATGCCGTAATATTGGTGTTGCACGCTTACTGCGTGATTAAAAGGAGGGAAAAACTGTTGAGCAGAATGGTCATTTAGTGCAAATCCCTCGTATGACGACGTTGAGGGTTCGTTCCATGCAGCACAAGCCAAGCGCAATTGGTTAAAATTGATAGGCGGTTTAATCTAACCTAAAGGTGCGCACGTCCTTAAGCTTGCCAGTGGGCTATGGGGCATAACGGAGGCCTCGTTATTATTATTTTTTACCGAAAGTTCCCTGACGCGATTTCGATATGTTTTGCTACCATTTCCATCATCGAATGAGAAGGCAGCTGCGAACGGGGATCGAACTGGAAATATTTGTACTAGAGCATGTTACTAATTCAGTCCAGCGAGTAGGTCGTCACTCGAATGCTCATACATCTATAGCAGGAAAGTCCGGGATTGCACGTGAAGCCGACCTGCTAAGGTAGTTATTGCTCGGGAAACGACTTTCGTGTCTGCCGACCGCAAGTAAAAAGCAAAATAAAATGTGAAGTATGATGAGGCAGAGACAAATAAACTCTGAATGCGTCTTTGAACAAACTTTATATATAATCAGGGTTCCAGTGTCAGCACCGATGGCACAAGTACAAAACCAAATAAGATCTGCTTGCAATGAACCGGCAGCGGTGGTCACAAGAAAAAGTGCCGGTCTCAGAAAAGGAAGCTAAAAAAAGCGCATGCCACATTGCGAATGTATGCTGCTCTACACCGCTCTGGACACAACGATACAGTTTGCAAGATTTGCCAATGGTATACTGCGGGAATCTTTACGGTCCTTAAGGTTAACATTTTTTTTCCTGATTTCGCAAAGCACGTAGTCAAAATGGCACGTTCTTTCTGTCTGTTCAAATCCAACTTTAGGAAGATTATTCATGATAAAAAAATATTCTCATTGAACCGAGATTAAATGATTGCGCACGCGAGCTCCACGAAATGACACTGAAAGAATAACTTGTTAAAAGATTGTGCACATTGCAATAAGTAGAGCTTTCGCAGAACTTAGCGTGCTTCCACTCACATTGAGCGTACAGCTGTGCAGTACAGTATAGTGATTGGCGCATTCCCTGAGCCCACCACTGCCCAATCATGATTAAGAATTCATGGCACTCACGAAGAACACTGCGATGATTGGCTGGGCGCAGACGAGGAACAACAAAAAAGGTGTTACGATGTGTGCAAGTAGGATAATATCACCACGCATTTCAGCGCAGTCAGGTAGTGCGTTATGACTCGTACAATGCATACACCAGGCTTGCTTTTGGTGACAAAACACCCCGCTCGTCTTGAAACACACGCAGACAACGAGGGTAATCTTTCTGGGGGAGGGGGGGGGGTCAATTTTTTACGCAACTCTGGTAATACAACGGGGGGACTGTCTTCAATTGATCGGCCTTTTTTCTTGGCATTAGCGCCTAGTGACCGGTATTACTGTTATCAATTTTTGCCGGCTGAACGGTTACGTGCAGCCGGTTACGTGCAGCAGTATGCGTGCAGGAGGACAAGAAAAGAAATAATGCAAATAAATCTTGTGGGTGTGAGGGTAGGGGACGGTTTGCCATTCTCGTGAAAAGGAGTGGTTTCAGACATCGTAAAATTTCGCAAAAAAATGTCATATCTCGCAATGGCGCCTCTTACATTTTAGTTCAATCAAAGGGGACCGTGTAGCCCCCTGGGCCAATCGGAGTTTACCAATCGCAGAATTCACAACATGGCGGAATTCGACAATTTCCAGATTACCACTCCGGGACATTGTACTCACCCGCTTACAAGTGGCGGCAGGCCAGCCTGTTCACCGGATAGTATCTCGCAAGGAATCATCGATTCAACGATTCAAGTACTTGCATGACGCAACTGGTCTGCCGTCTCACAACTAATTTGCCGTCACAGTTGACCCCCCCCCCCCTTTTACAATGTTTCCAAGGACGTAAATTGTACCGCATTCAATAAGATGTGACGGACGCTATCATACTTTGTGTTTCATGCAATGTTACATAAGGCGCGAATAAGGTACTGTCTTTCGAATGAACAAATGACCCTCACTTCCGAACAGATCACCGTTTGTCGCACTGTTTTCAAGCAGGCACGTAAGACATTGAATGAAGAGTAGAGGAATATGTGCAAGGAAGAAGTGTAAAAGTAAAACGTTTGTGCTTCACGCAAAAGCCTGGCGCTTTCTTGAATAAAAGTTTAAAAGATAGCACTGAGATTCAACAAACGACTATGACGAAAAAAAATCTATTTAGTATTCATTGGTCTTTTGTTCGCTCATCATGTACAGCAAAACCATCCGAATATACGGGACTTCTAACACGAGTGACATTTATAATGCATGCGGCTTTCGGCAGTAAGAATGTCCTTCGCACATGCAACAGCAAGCACCATGTTGTAGAGATCACTTTCCTTCGTTATTCTTCACTCGCAAGCATCGAGTCGTCAAACAACCACGCTTTTCTCCATACGCGACTAACCTTTTTTATGGTGACTGCAGAGCAAGTGACACGTGTATACATATAGCAATAATAATATTAATAATACTAATAAACAAGCGCGCCCAACAATCAATCTGTAGCATAAAAATCTCGACACCGGATAGGCTACAAACAATTGTAACACTTCTTCTGTGCATGCAGCAATGTATAGAGAGTTGTCCAAGGATGGCAAGCACGGCACAACAACGAGTTTATGCTAAAGTATAGCAATCTTGTGTGTCCGGCCTGTGACTGTGCGATGCACCACGAGAATCGACGCACCAGGTGACGCCGTTTGCCGAAAGGATTGCAGCAGCCGGTTGTGCTAAACACGCATAGAGGCACTCACACGAGCACCGAATAGCGAGGGTTGAATTCCACCATATGTCACACCAAACATTCAGTTTCACTTTTGTTAAACAAAGTTCAATCGTGTGAGCCCTTTGGACTATGTCTTGCATTCGTGCTGTCGGTATCCGGTTCCGTGGAGATTGAAGGAACTGATACGTGCGCATCAAAGACATGCTTGAACCAAGCGACCTGCACCAAGCATCACGATTCTTTCATATTTCACGGGCACTTTCTCTTAGCGTCCCTACTGGCGGCGGATTCGACCTCTTCGTCTGGACGTCTCTTCTCCGGCTCCGGGACTGCAGGGCTCCTGACGATCTTAAGCTGAAGTGCGCCAGAGCCGTGACGGGACGCCACCCTGCTCGATTGTGACGACTTGGAACCGGGGCTCCCTTCATCCTCCGTGTCCACGGAGTCCCGCATGTCGTCGTGCTCGGGCGTCAGCTTTTGCTGCTGCCGCCGCCTCTCATGCCGGCGGTGTCGGTGTTGGGACGATGACCGTTTCTTGCCACCAGAGTGGTGGTGGTGGCGACGACGATGGCGATGGTCCCTCGCGGGCGGCGGTAGTGGTGGAGGCGGCGGTGGTGGCGTCGAAGAAGGGGTCGACGCCGGAGGAGGCTGCGGTGCGGTAGAAGACGTCGCGAAAGACTTGAGGGGCAGTGGTATGGGTATAGGAATAGGGATCGGGATGGGCAAGAATATGGGGTACGGCACCATGACGGTGGGAGGAGGAAGCAGGGGATTCGGTGCTGCCGGCGGGGCAAGTGGAGCTGGACGGGGCAGGGCCATGGGTGGAACAACTCCAGCTGGAGGTGCCGGTGCTGGAGGCGCTGCGACGGAGTGAGGCGGAGGAGGTAGGAAGCCGCGCATGCGCGGTACTGCGGAAGATGGAGCTGCAGCTGCCGCAGCAGCGGCGGCAGCGGCGGCGGCAGCGGCCGCAGCGGCACTGTTGTGGTGCATCCGCAAGTGTGGCGGCGGCGGTACTGGAGAAAACATATGGAACGCTGGATGCGGAGGACCGAGAAAAGGCCTTCCGCCATGGTCCGGCAGTGTTGACCCGGGTCTGCAGGCCATCGTAAGCGGCGGAATCACGGGCGTTAGTGGAGGCGGGCTGCCCGGACAGTGCTGTGGTGGCGGCGGAGCTGGGTGATGACCATTAAGTTGGTGCGTCGAGCCTCCCGAGGCGCCGGGACTGCTCAGCGGGGTTGTGCTGGTGGCCCTGGTGGGCGACCGCGCGGTGTGCGCCTGGTGGTTGTGAAGGGAGGGCGGTACAACACCTCCGATTCCCCCGTCCTGAGAACTGCTAGCGGGCGAGGATCGTGCAGACCTCAAGGAGCGACGTCTCTTGGAGGAGGACGGCTTGGTGTGCGTTGGTTTTTGAGAAAGGTTGACGGGGTCCCCGCTGGCCCCGGAGTCCGGCGACGGCTGTGACTGCCTCAAAGGGGGTAACGCAGAAGACGACGGTGGCGGTGGGGGTAGCGCGGGAAGCACGTGCGGTGGAGGCGGCGGACTTTTGTGGTCATCCTCTCTTTCCGACGACCCATCGTGCCCATTGCTGGCTCCAGACTGCTGGCTGCTCTTGCAGTCGCGCAGCCAGAGGTCAGGTGTGATGAGGCCCGAGGCAACTTTGCAGGCCGTGGCGGCGTCCTGTAGGTGAGGGTGCATCTGGAGGTGCGCCTGCGTCTCGCGGCAGAAGATGTTCATCTTGTACTGGTTGAGGCACTTGTCGCTGCAAAACTGGAGCTGCTGCTCGCCGTCCTGGAAATCGACGTAGTTGACCGTGTGCCGGACGTGCTTGCACCAATCGCACACTTTGTTCTTCTTGAACGAGGCGCGCCGGCACTGCGTGAAGCACAACTCGGAGCAGAACGCTTTGCTGCCGGTCGTCGTCCTGAGAGTGAACAGTTTCATGCCCACCTTCTGGCACCAGGCACACAGGATGCAGTTGGGCGGGAGGTTGGCCCCATCTGCGACACGGCAAAAGAGAGACAGAGTTTAAGACTAATGATTCCAGTAGGCATATCATCGATATAACGAACATAACTTCGAAGAAACAAACGTAGTGAAGAAAGCACAAACTATACCTCAGGCTTGTAAAAGACCACAAAGGAGACATTACGGATTTCGGGCCCGTACGCGCAGTCGAATTCATGAAGATTTCAGCACCACTGTCTCGCTGATGTACTACAGAAATAAAAGAAAGATACTGCTGTTGGCCCATGTGATCGCGCTTAAAGCAGCTCTTCCTACGTGTTAAAGGCAACAAGTTATAAAAACAGCTTCGCTTCGCGGACAACGACGAAACAGTGAAGCTAGTGGGGTTTCTTTCGTCAGGCTAACACATTTATATGTTTTGCAAGTCCTTCAGATATGTTGTATCACTGTTCTTTCTTAAACACTCTTCGTAAACCTTTGAGGAAGTATGTATAGAATTCTCAGAGATTGAAGGACTCTGGTTTTGTTGCATCTTGACCATAACATCCACAGGTTTGCAAAAACGTTTCCGCTTAAGATGCTTCGACATGTGGTATCGCTGCTGTTTATCGAAGTTAAACAGCTTTGGGGTGGTGGTATAGTCACCACCTTTTATAACAACGAAGTATCCCGTGACAGCGGCGTGGCTGTGGTAAGGAGCATGCCATTTGTTGGGCGAACTGTTGGCCTCATTTTCAGTGGAAGAGGGGCGGGTCGTAAGGTTTACCTGATGCCTGTGGCGCATATCCTTTTATGACGCCCGCAAACCTTACCACGGATCCCGGACATAAAAGGCTCGACCGAGGACGGCTTCCCAGCTAAGATACGGTATAACATAACGCATCTGGAAACATTCACGTATATATACGGCTGACTAACAGCCTCGAAAATAATTGTTGAAATGCAACTGCGGTTGCTGTCCAAGAATGCATTAACCAGGCTTTTAGGGCCGTTATCAGTGGCATCGTGTTTTGATGTGTGTTAAAATTACATTTTCGAAACAACCAAGTTGTGAAGCGTGAATTCAAGTTCTATTTTGCTTGTAGCTTCCGAGCACCACACTTCACCCACTCATTCAAGTGGTGCCAACCAGAACATCTCGCACCACATTTACAAGGACCAGTTTTTAACGAAATGGAGCGCTTTCGACTAGAGGTGTACAACGTCCCACTCGGTCCACGATCGGTCCATGATAGTCGTCAGAAAGGAGCGCCGAAGCGAAAAGCTTAATAGAGTAGTCCTGATCCGGAATACTTTCTTCAGATTGTTCAGAGACGGTAAGTGTAAGTGCGATCTAATCAAAATAAATGTAGCTCGATATTACTGGTGTATGACCACCTTAGGTCGGCAAAAGAAAGTGCAGCTCACTAAGACCCACGATCACCAAAATTTTCCCGAGTCGAAGTCACTCGGACTCACACTCACTAAAATTTTCTTGAACTCACTGGGACTCTGACTCGCGAAAACATTACTCAACCGCACTTACTCAGACTCACACTCACCAAAATTTTCCTGAGTCAAACGTCACTCGCACTCACACTCACTAAAATTTTCTTGATCCGGACTCAATCGGACTCTGACTCGCGAAAATATAACTCAATCGGACTCACTCAGACTTACACTCACGGCTCGACGCGAATCTGAGTGAGTCCGAGTGAGTACACTCAAGAGCGAGTTCGTCGAAGCCTGATGGCCAAAATCGTGGGAGAATTGTGAGCTCATTTTCTGGACACAAATGAGTAGGATTTGCTCCTAAAATGCACTGAAAATTGGTATCATAAACGACGTTCGAGTTAACAAGTCACGCCTGAGCAAATGTTTCACCAGAGTAATCTCACAAGTTCACTCTGGTGCCGTATTTTCTGCCAGCCGGGGTCAAAATTGCATTCGGAGAACTTAGTAAATACCGGCAACACAATAGTGCTGCTTTTCAGTGTGTTATAAAAAGGAGTTCAATAAGTGCTCCCATGGCGCCATCTACCAATACCTAGGCGACGACACCAGCTCCTTACGACAGTGCTTTTTCCAGTGCCACGTATCATTATTGCCGTTCACTTACAAGTGTTACAGTCGCAGAGCCTCATCCCAACATAACGTGACGGAAAATATGGCAATGCAGTCGTTCTCATTATAAATGTCGTTATATTACTGCACGAATTTATGACCGAACCGGGTTCTAAAAGAAGGTAAATATTAGAACTGGAAGTCAACTTTACCGAAAGACTCAGTTTCGTTGTTTAGGGAAGTTATTTTGGGAGTAGCGAGCACTCACACGATCATGTACTTACGGGAGCTGCAATTATGTCTGCGAATATAGACATGGATGCGCTTACAGTATACGTTCCCACTTCTTTTATTTTTTTAAGTATATCGAGCATTTCCGCGGGACATTTAAGAGTCTTCCATTTATGATCACATAATATTTTATCACATAATCAAATTGTAGAATTTTGGAACGAAGCATTCTACACATCGATCACAAACAGGCAGTAGTAACCTCTTTTTTCTTAATAGTAATATTCTTGTTATTATTAATATTATCGAAGTAATTGTGTTCATTTCGAACAATGCAAAAACGATCGAGTGATACAAGCCTACAACAACGACAATACTATCCCACTGTGTAGTGGAGCGCAAAACAATCTTGTGGTTTCAAATCGGCGCCAGGAAAGTTATAGAATATGCACGAGCTTATACGAAATCGAAATGTCGCGAGCTGAGGCAGCTCCACGTACTTTTAATCATTTCTGCATCAGAAAAAAAAGCAGCACAATAGAATCTCGCATAAGATTCTTACGCTCCCGTAAGGTACTTACTGGACCTTAAGTCGATTTTAAAAACACATACAAGCGGTGTTCGCCAGGCATCGGCGTGGCCAACATCGTGGGGAGAAAACGTGTGTTTCTTGCAGGAACCAGGGGCGGATCGAGCCACTCATTTTAGGGGAAGGGGGCGTGGTCATGACTTGTTTTTACTAGGTGAAAAACGCCTTCGTAGCACAAATACCGTTCATGTGTGTTCACAGTGGCTTCACTCATTTGTAATAATTGGTAAAAGGAGGCGGACTAAACTAAAGGGGGGGATGCTGACAGAGAATTTCGGGGGGGGGGGGGCGATCATCCTTACCGCCCCCCGCTCTGAATTCGCCACTGGCAGGAAGACCGTATACGTTTAGTGCCTAAGCATTGAGACGGTTCTAATGGCGTCATGACCGACACTTCACGAGATCAGCTCCTGTTGGTGAAAGATCTGAACCAACGAGTATTGTTTCCACTCTTCCGTCACTTATTTCTTTCGAACTGTATAGCGATGTCACTTTGTTTCCTTGTTTAAGTCCATTACTGCAGGATATACTGTGGCTGCGCTTTACTATTTCAATTGCGAAGCTGTTCAGCCATTCGTGCGAGTCGATGGCAGAAAACTATTATCTTAACGGGCATGCACCTCTGCGTGGCCTGCCAGAAAACAATCGTCATCATAAGCAGGAATGTGCTACAGAAATTGCGTAAATCTTTCTGTTATACTCACTGTTCCACTAAAGGTAGAGAGGGCCACAGCCAGCCCAACAAAACGGTCGCGAAGCCAAGGCGGCGAGCTGAAGAGCCCGAGTACGCACAACGAGAAAATACTACAGGGAACGACGGGAAAGGCAACGGCGGCTGCGGGAAGACATCGAAGCGATGAAAGACCAGTACGCCAATGACGACGCGCCCGAAGATCTAGAGAGGTGCGAACACTTGGCTTCCGCGCGAGTTACTGCCTGTGGAATCGGGACAACCATGTCGTATCTGTGAACGCCTGTGGTTTAACTCGAACGTCTCCGAGCCGGGAATAAACGTAGGAAAAAAAAAACGATCTAAAATCTAGCAACAACCTATATAGAAACAATCAGGTTTGTATTTAGCATCATTTAGTTTAGTTGTTGCTCGGAGCCTTGTGTGGCTTGATTCGTCGTTTTTTTTTTATCCAGAAGATGATCTGAGTACGTAGTGTGAAGTTCATGAGGGAATTACGTCGATCTGTGAGCAAGTATCAAATATATTGATGCGAAGTGTCACTACCAGGAAAAACAACACCTCCACCAAATTGTTACACCAGGTAAGGTAACTTAAGGGGTTTTTTTTAATGGGCCCTGAGTCCGGGATCACAGTATGATGACGATGCTCATTCCGCAGCCATGGCTGGTACCCACTCGGGGGGATCGCAGTAGAAGCAACGTCGTCTTCCTTCTCTACCCGCGCTTTTCTTGTTTTTCTGGTAGTGACACTTCGTGTCAACATTAAGGAAAAGAATATCTCCGGTTTTACGTGTCAATATTACGATAAGATTATCATGGCGCACCGCAAAGGGGGGATCCGGGAAGTAGGCCCATCTGGTGTTCTTTCACGTGCATTCACATCGCACAGTATACACACGGGCCGATAAGCATTTGGCCTCTATCAAAATGCGACCAGCACGGCTGGGATCGAATCCGTCACTTTCTGGTTAACAGCCACGCACCGTAACAACTCTACCATCGAAACAGACAAGCATACCAGAGACGTGCAGAGGGGGTCAAACGTTTCCAGGCCGCGCTGCCATAAGGATACAAGGGATCGAGGCCTGAGAACTTTCCACCAGCCGTGTATACGTGTGCAACACGTTAGTGTATGCATGTATGTTTTTCCTTCTTGAACCCCTCCCGTCACGCAAAAGAGCCCGAACACTAAGGAAACGTAAATTACGCCAGAAATGCCAATGCAGCTCCCTACGCTAGACGATACAGAAAACACAGTCAACATACAGCAGGTATGTGTGGCAACGAGTATCACTCGCTGTCGGTTACGTCAGACTATTCGCAAAGCCTATGCTGGACCAGAAAGGCGAGACGATGCACTCGGGTATGTGTGCAACTGCATTACCTGCCGATGGCAGTGTTGAAATAGGCAGGCATCGCATGCTTGCGACATGCAGCTCGTACAGCTCAGATGAAAGTCGGGGTTAGTCGACGTTT